CCTTCCTTCCTTCCTTCCTTCCTTCCTTCCTTCCTTCCTTCCTTCCTTTCTTTCTTTTCCTGTATATGATGTGTATATGCATTGTGTGCATACGTGTGTGCACGCGCGCGTCCTCTGTGTGTGTGTACACACTGTGTGTTCATGCTCTTTGTATTTGTGTGTGTGTGTGTGTGTGTGTGTGTGTGTGTGTGTGTGTGTGTTTAGAGACAAGATCTCTCTATGAAACCCTGCCTAGCCTGGAACTCACTTACATAGACCAGGCTGGCCCCTACCTCACAGAGATTCTTCTACTTCCTCTACTTCTTCTACTTCCCATGTGCTGGGATTAAAGGCTTGTGCTACTCTGCCCATCTACTTTATTTTTTGAGACAGATCTTTCACTAACCTGAAGCTAGTGAGCCAGCGAGGCAGGCTGGCCAGTGAGCTCTAGGAATCTGCTCTTCTCTGCATCCACCACGCCTGGCTCCCCATGTTGGGGCTGAGGATCAAAACTCAGGTCCTCAGGAGGCTTACAGCAGCAAGCACTTCAGACTGAGTCCTGGTCCCAGCCGGGATCGCCAGACTTTCTGTAGTGGAAGGCGCCCGCTCTTGGGAAACTGAGAAGAAGACTCCCAAATTGAAATGAATTGAAACAATGTATTTTTAAATACCGCTGTCAGCACTCTTGTTCTCTGGACCCTAAACGTTGGAGCTGCCAGAAGAAAAGGGACTTTGAATAATCCTATCTGTGCTCAAGTTGATTGTGCATCGTTCCGTTCCATCAAGCACCCTCTCCTGCCGTGACTGCCCGAAATAGGGAGGAAACCAGAGTCCAGGAAGAAGACAGATTAGTTCAAGGTGAAACAACACCTTCTGAGCACAGACCCAAGCCCCCTGTCTTGCAATGGGCCGCACCGGAGGCTTATCGCAGTCCTGGGGCCCCTGAGACGTGGGAGATGGAGACGGGGCTAGGAATTTGCTGTCGTCTTTGTATTCGGGGCGGGGATGGGATGGGGTGGTGGCGGTGGCGTGGGGGACTGGAACCTGACGGTCCCTGAATGTTCCCAGAGTCCCCTCCCAGTCAGTAGGCAGACCCTAGGGGAAAAAAAGGTTACCGTGGCAACTCGCATTCCTCTCCGAGTGAGTCACCAGGGAGAAGAGCCTCTTGGTGGGTGGGGCTTGGAGAAAGTTTCAAAAACTGACTCCTCAGAGCCGCCCCCTCCTCCCTCCCTCCCCCCTCCCCCCAGTGCAGCCTGTCGATGTGGCAGCTGATGGCTGAGTTAACTCTCTCGTCCCCTAACCGCTCCTTTCTGGTTTAATCCTTGGCAAATAAAAATTGGTTTCTGTTCTCGGCATCACACCCTTGCACCATTCTGGAGGTCTGATATCTGTTTGGGAAGATCTTAAGCCTGAAAACTGTGGACACCCATCATCTCTTTTACACACACACACACACACACACACACACACACACACACACACACCACTACACTGTGCACACAATTTTCAGGAACTTTCAGAGACTCCCTGAAGCTATTCAAAGTCCAATTTATAGGCTTCAATTAGTTATCTGGCTTGGAAAGTCTTACAGGAATTCAGGTGCTCCAGGGACTGACCGTCTTCCTTGGGACAGGAAGACTAAACCCAAGGGAGATGCCTTTATGAGATCGCCCACAATCTGTGCCTAAAGCTTGCCACCCCACGTACATGCACTCACTACATGGACGCAAATGGTTCAAGAAACTTAACCTAGGGGATTTCCAGTGGAGGCACTTTCTCCCCTCAGGTATGCTAGCTGTCCCTGAGGAAGATGCCTGATGCCTGTTCCCTTTAGGCGAGACTTATCTCAGCTTTCCTGGGTGTTACAAACAGGAAGTTCACAGAACAGCTCGGAGCAGACAAGCATCCAACAGGCTGGTCTGAGTCTTGGGTGGATTCAGCAGTGAGGTGTGAAAGGTGTCCTGGAGCCCAAATCCCCCAGTCGCCCCCACCCCCATGCCCGGTGTCCCTCCTCCAATCACCTCGCTCCCTCTGTCTGGATTGTATCAATTGTTGGTTTTCTCAGATGTCTAGATACAGTAAAAACAATTGTTGGTGGGTTCCTGTGATGACCAGCTCTCAGAATTAGGATGGGAACAATGGCAATCCCAGGTGGGGAGAGACAATAGTATCTGACGCCACCGGGTGATGTGGGGGTGGACAGAGACTCCAGGGACCTGAGCCTTCCCAGAGGAGCTGAGTAAAGGGAATGCCTTGCCTTTGCTGTCCGCAGATCGGTTTATCCTTCTCAAAGTCCCATTTGGACAACAGCACTCTGACCCAGAACTAGCTGTCTGTTCTCCTGGACTAGGGGGCCAGCCAGATCCAGCAGGCTACCAGCCAGACTCTCCAGGCTGGCAGTGTGATGGGCAAAGGAGGATCAGATTCCCAGAAAAGGAGACAGCTGCCACCGAGGGTGACAGAGGACCAACGGCCTCTGCCACCGGAGAACATACAGAGAGAAAGTGCTCCCTGCAAATCCTGTCTATTTTCTCAGCAGAGCTACGGAGATGGCAAGTTCCCCTGTGAGTGAGCAACAGGCTTCCAGCCTGTGCCCTGAAGGGAAGCCTCCCTTCAGCTTACCTCCCCACACCCCCAGGCTAGTCAAAAGGAAGGGGCAGAGGGATGGATGCAGCTTACAGAAGGGCAGGGGTGGCGGGGTGGTGCATACCTCGGCGCAGGCAGGCAGGCAGGCAGCAGAACAGTTCTGGCAGTCTGAAGGGCTGCAGGAATGTGGAGGGCTTTAGAGGCAAGCAGCAGGAAGCCACTTGGAGCTCTGGGCAGGGTCTGTCTCACCCTCCGCCTCCACCCAAAGGCCCTCCTCCTCTTCTGTCTCCTCCTTCCCCTGGCCTGCCTCCCCCTCCTCCCCAGAGCCAAAGCTAACTGTCTTTTCTTCCTTCTTGCCTTGCCTTGTGGCAGGCTGTGCTACCCAGACACCCTGGCCCCACCTGCCTCATCTGTTCTGGGGCTGCTGCCTAAACAGACATGAGGGTCAGAGCTGGAACAGCCGCACGAGTCACCTAGAACAGCCCCGGCCTTGTTCAGTGCTAGGCCGAGGCCCGAAGAGTCCAAGGCATTACCCAAGAGCCGCAGGGGCACAGCTCAGCCCAGTGTCCTGGCTTTCTCGCCTGCTAGTGAACTTGACTGAACCCTCCCGCAGACTTAGGTGATGTGGAGATGGGCAGAGCAATTGGAGGAGTGGGGAGTCTGAGGAAACCAAATGCCGGATTTTCTCAGTGCCAACAAAACAAGCTGCCACTGGCGACAAGGGTGGCATCATCCTTGATGAGGAAGTGAGGTCTTGGTCTAAAAAGTCCCCTCTCACTCCAGTGGCACCAACCATAGATAAGTGAGGGGTTGGAATTTAGCTAGGAGACTGGCATCACCAGTACCTGACAAACCCAGAGAGCAATAATATTGATAGATCAGAAACAATAGGCAGGGTTGGTGGGGAAGCCATTGTTGACACAGCAGGCCTTCCACTTAGGAAGTTTGTTGTTCATTTTGGGACAAGGTCTCACATAGCCCAGGCTGACCACTTACTCACTACGTTGCTGAGGATAACCTTGAGTTTCTGATCTCCCTGCCTCTACTCCCTGGGTGCTGGGATTGCAGGTGTGTACCACCATGAGTAGTTTATACGGTGCTGGGGATTGAATCCAGGGATTAAGGCATGCTAGGCAAGCACTCTACCAATTAAGCTACATTCCCAGCCTGACTTAGATACTGTTAAGAGACCATTTAATAACAAGGGCACAAGCTCACACAGGGCAAACAGCTTGAAAAACAACACTTGACCAAAAGTGGTCCAAGAAAGCTGTCTATCATTTCAGCCTGGTTCTTCTTTCGGGAACGTGAACTGCCCCATCCATGCAGCCGCTCTTGACTGAGCACTTCGTGCCTGCCGACTTCAGGAGGTACCAGAATGGATGCTGCAGGAGCTTTGGGTGTGGCTAAAAGGATGTACCTCATGCCCAGAACCACTTCCTTGGTGATGCAGATCCTAAGGCTTCTCCTAGAGGGCCAGACTGGCAGAGCCTTCCTGAAAGCATAGATATTGAAGCAGTCATTGGGTTTGGATAACATGGAATTGGAAAGGGCAGGGAACAGTCTAGGGATAAACTTCTGCACACCAGGACCGCTATCTTGCTTGCCATATCCTCACTTACCACACTCCTCCTGGCCCACTTGGTCCAGCCAAAGCAGCTTGCCCTTAGTTCATCGGGCCCTCCAAAGCCATCCCTATGCCCAGTCTCTGTTCCTCACTCTTTTCTCTGCACAGCACTTTCCTGATCCTGGACTTTCTCAACCTTCAGAACTCTATTCTAATGTTGCTCCCTAGAGAGGCCCTTCTTGGCCACTCAACTCTCTTCTCACCTCTCTCACAGCAGGGTGGGTGCCCTTAACATCATTTCCCTTCCTCTTCCTATCTGTCACCATGTACTTTCTTCTCTTGACAGCAGCCCAGGAAAATAGGGGCTTCATGCGTCTTTCAGTCTGAAGGGTTTTAGTTAGCTAGTTTTGTTTTGTTTTCAATCAATAAATGGCCTTCTACTATCCCACCTGAAAAAAAAAACCAGAATGGAGTCTTTTCTTGGGGTTCTAGCCTGGGACAGAGACCCTCAGACCTCCTCCCTACCCTATGTACCTGGGCATTTTTCTGCAGAGAAGTCATGGCTTCCTCCTGGTTCTCCAAAGGGCCTGTGAAGAATCCAGAGACCTTTTGACTTGTAAGGCCCTGAACCCTCTCCCTGACCCAACAGCCAGGAGCTTTAGGTCGCCAAATCTGGGGGGCCAGCAGACTCCCCAGACATCTAATTTGTCCTTGGTACAGGGGTCTATTTTCATGGGATCGGTTGCTATAGCTCCGGCCATCGTGGAGTCTAAAATCAACTGCGGTCTCAGTTTGGTAAACCTAAGCAAAAGGGTCTACATCTGGTATCGACCTTGGGCTCCCAGTTAGCCTTGGGTGCAAATGTTGGAAACACGTTTGGGGCCAGGGGTTGAGGTAGAGTATGTGGGAATGCTAGTCAAGGCCCCTGGGAGGACAGAGGAGCTAGAATCTCATGGACCAGCCAGGTGGCTCAGCAGGTAAAGGCATGTGCCACCAGGTCTGACAACCTGAGTCCCACCCCACTAGCGAATTGTCCTCTACCCACAACTCACTCACCCAAGGTGGTGTGTTCACCCCACCCACCACCACTCAAATAAATAAATAAAAAAGAAATGAAAAGAGAGAATGATAGAATTCCAGGGAGGATTTGAATTCAGCATTAAAGAATGCTGAGGCACAGGAGTCCTGTAGCAAGGATGAGCCTGATCAAGACAGGGGGTCGCAGAGGTTAGAGCTGGGTCTCCTGCTTCACCCAGGGCTTCATGGGAAGGGAAGGAAGCATGGGAGGCCTGGTTGAGCTCCCTCTCTGCCACTAAGTCTCCATTAACGTTATACCTCAAAACCCTTAATCTTCAAAGTAAATTTATGCTCATTCCTAATCCTGTCTGAACTATTTTTTTTTTCCATTTGTGAACTGGAAAAGGCAATTGAATAACATTTCTTTTTGTGTGTGTGTGGTTTTTTGAGACAGAGTTTCTCTGAGTGTATTCCTGGCTATCCTGGAACTCACTTTCTAGACCAGGCTGGCCTTGAACTAAGAGATTTGCCTGCCTCTGCCTCCAGTGCTGGAATTAAAGGTGTGCGCCACCACCGCCCAGCTTTGAATAGCATTTTTTTAAAATGTGCATTTGTTGGGTCCCCTGGAACTGGAGCTACAGATGGTTGTGAGTTGCCATGGAGGTGCTGGGAATTGAACCTGGTTCCTCTGGAAGAGCAGTCGGTACTCTTAACCACTGAGCCATCTCTCCAGCCCCATGAATAACATTTCTTAAATACATACTTTGGATCAAGCAATAACCAAGTTTTTGCATAGATTTTCTAATGACCCTTACAACAAAACAGGAAGTGTGTGTGTGTGTGTGTGTGTGTGTGTGTGTGTGTGTGTGTGTTATAGAGGCCAAGAAAAGGTGTCAGGATTTCCCTGGACCTGGAGTCACCAGCGCTTGTGAGCTTCCCAATATGGGTGCTGGGAATCAAACTTGGGTTCTTTGCAAGATCGGCAAGCACTCAACGACTGAGCCACTGAGCCAACACCTGGACCTGTTTTTCTTTGGGCAAAATAAGAAGTCAGGACCTTGAGGTCCTTGTTCCCAGCCAACACCCCCTCCAGGTCCCTCCAGCCTGCTCCAGTTGCATCCCTCTATCCCACTGCCTTGGGGATGCCCTTGTGACATGACCTTCTGTTCCACATGCCTATTTTATGTGATGCTGAGGATGGAAACCAGGGCATCCTGCAAGCTAAGAGAGCATCCTGCAAGCTGGTGAGCTACGTCCCCAACTGCTTCCCTCTGCCTTCTAAGTGCTCCACTCCCACCTCTACTTCTGCTCACATTTCTTTGTCTGGCTTTGATCCTCCTGCCTCCATCTTGTAAGGTCCCATGATGATGTTACTTCACCTCAAAATTCGTAATCTACAGACTTCAATCCAGCCCCTTTCTCCTTGAATGGCTAGGAAATAGAGTTTTATAAGACCGTTGAGACAGTGTGGATGACAAAGCCTGGGGCCTTGATATCCTAGCCCAGGCTGAGCTGGTGCCAGCTTGGCCTGCTCTAGACGCAGGGCCAGGATCGTGTATCACAGCCTTCATGGCTGTGCCCTCTGTGTATCTGGCTCAGAGCCAAGGCTGCTGGGCTCACATGGCCAGGCACACCAGAGACTGATTCAGCCCATTGCCTTGTTACTGCAGCTTTCTCCAGTCAGATCTTCCCATTGGCTGGAAGACACAAAGATCCCATTGTCATCCAGGCCTTGGTCCCCTGGGCACAAAGGCTGCTGATCAGGGCAAGGCCAGATACAGCGGAGGATGAAATTTGACTTCAGCCCTTCCTTCCTCTTACCACACTCCCCCAGGCAGCTAGGAGCTCTCCCTCAGTGCTGTGCAATCCACAAAGGACTTTTCTCTTCTGGTCTCATTGAGTGGTGCATTGATTTGATATGTAAAGTAGCGAAGCTGGAGTTCTCTAAGATTGCCTTGACCCAGGTAGACTGGACAGTACTAGACAGTGATATCAGGGCTGGCTTTGCAGTCAGAGCTCTGGGCTCGAACCTGGGACAAGTTATTTAACTCTGTTTAAGTTGAGGCATGTTACGTAACTTCCAGCCTCAGTTTCCCCAAATGTAAACTGTACCCCTTACATGTTACAAAGTTCTTGTGAGTATTAAACAAGGTGATATGAGATGCATTTGGCTCCCTGTCAAATGCCATAAGCACTCCATAAACATTTATTTTTTTTTAAGATTTAATTTGTAATTATGTTCACATGAGTACAGATACCCTTGGAGGCCAAAAGAGGGTGTTAGATCCCTTAGAGCTGGAGTTATAGGTGACTGTAAGCCACCTGATGTAAGTATTGGGAACCAAATCTGGGTCCTGCTGTGGATATGGACAAGTACTCTGACATGCTAGAGATTTGTGGGGGTGGAGCTGTCGATCATTGGGTAGAGTGATTGCCTAGCAGTCATAAAGCCCTGAGAACAGTCTCCAGCACAGCATGGTAGTGCATCCCTGTCACTTAGGATGATGAAGAAAGACAGGAGCTCAATGTGTGAATGCTAGAGGTTCATGTGACGGTTCTGTGGCTCTTTCATTTTCCTTCAGGGCCTGGACCCACGCCTTTGAGGTGCAGGGTCTGCTCTGGCCTGCACTGTCTCCTGCCTCTCTGGGCCTGAATGGAGGAGGTAGGTGGTAGATTGCTCCTGCCTTTCCAAGTCCTGGTCTGTAATAGTCTAGCTGCTGGTTGAAGGCCAGGAACATTCACAGGCAGGCACCAATTTTCCGAACCTCCTAGAACTCCTTTCTGAAGGGAAGAGGAAAGCTGGACAGCCCAGCCCTGATGCGTGGCAGCTTTACACGGCCCTGACGTGGCCCACAAACCAAACCTCTGTCAGTTTCAGTGGCTGTGTGGGAAGCCAGGAATGATGAGGACTACTCAGAGGCCGAGACGTGGCAACCCAGCCCATGACTCAGCCATCTGGCCCAGAGGCAGCCTGGAGACTCCATGCATCTTCTGGGGATCTCAGATGCCCTAGAAGAAGAATCTAGCCCAGTCTCTACTCTGCATCCCTAGCTGGCCCCTAGTGGAAGGTTCTGTCTCCTGACAGTGCCCTGTTGTGCCACACTCCCCATTTCTAGCTCCTGGACCCTCTCACAGGCTCTCAGATTTCTTACTAGTAGCTTGCTTAGGGTCTGTGAAGTCCTAGGAATCCCACATGGAAGCCTACAGGGGCAAAAGGGCAGGGCAGGTTTCCAGATCTCTACCCGGCCCCCACTTGACTGCGGTGTCCTGCCTAACAGATCAGGGTTTTGACTAAGATTTCACATCTGAAAGTAATTTTACTACTTGAAAACAAATTTTGGTTTTTTGGGTTTTTTTGTTGTTGTTTTTTGTTTTTTGAGACAGGGTTTCTCTGTGTAGCTTTGCCCCTTTTCCTGGAACTCACTTGGTAGCCCAGGCTGGCCTCGAACTCACAGAGATTCTCCTGGCTCTGCCTCCCGAGTGCTGGGATTAAAGGCGTGCACCACCACCCGGCTGAAAACAAAATTTGAGGGGACTGGAGAAATAGCTCCATAGCTAAGAGCACTTGCTGCTCTTACAGAGGACCCAAGGTTCGGTCCTAGCACCCTACATCAGGAGGCTCACAATCACCTGCAACTCTAGCTCCAAGAGACCCAAAGCTCTTCTGGCCTCTGAGGGCACCTGCATGCATGTGTGGTGTACACACCACACACACACACACACACACACACACACACACACACACACACACACACATCTATCTTACTGTTATAAAAAAAATTGAGGTCGGGCCTGGTGGCCTATGTTTATAATACCAACACTCGGGAGGCTCGGGCAGGAGGATTGCAAGCTTGAGAACAGCCTGGTCTATGGGATGAATTCCAACCCTCTCTTCTGCAGGGTGAGCTCCTGTCCTGACAAAGAAATAAGTAACAAAACTGAAAACATTTCAAGTGTGCTAACGGACGTCGAGCCTACCGACTCTCTGTGCATATGAAGGTTCTAAGAGGAGAGCAAGGACCCCCAAAGGCAAGAGACCCACTTCCTGCAAGCCCCTGGATACCACGGCCCCTTCAGCACAGGCTGAAACAGTAAAAAAATAAAGTGATTGCTTTCGACCCTGAAGCCCAATGTCTTCCACCCAGAGACTGGTTCTTTCTCCCCTCTCAAAAGGTTTTCTCTTCAAACAAAACCCACCCACAGCAGATAGTTCCCTTGGGGCCACCAGTGAGAAACTGGAGTCTACTTTCATTAAGAACCCAGCATCTCCCAGCCTCTCCTCCCTGCTCTCATTGTCTTCAGAGAGGAGAGACAGCATCCAACCTGGGTGTCTGGAGTTTGTTTTTATGATTTGGACACGGGCTCTCATTCTGGCTGACCTGGAATTCGCCATCTTCCCTGCCCAACCTCCAGAGTGCTGGGATCACAGCTGTCCATCACCAGCCCTGTAGCTTGGGTTTGAAAAGAGCGGCCTGCTTTCTTCTCAATCCATGTCTGGTCCTCCTCCTCCTCATCTTTCCTCCTTTCCGTCCTTCTCAGCCTTTGATTTCTGTTTGCTTTTAACTTTTAAAAAAAATTACATTGGGGGCGGGTCTACACCGTACATTTGGAGACAGAAGGATAACTGGATAGAGTCAGTTCTCTCCTTCCACCATGTGGGTCCCAGGAATCGAACCCAGGTCCTCAGCCTTGGCAGTAAGCACCTTGACCTGCTGAGCTATGTGGCTGTTTTCTCCACCTTTTAAAAAGAGCACGAGGTGGGAAGCCGAGAGAGCCAAGCTCCTCACTAGTCAGACGAGGACATGGGCAAGTCAACTCCCACCTTTCTGTCTTGCTTTACCCAAACTTGAGATGGGCATGCCAGCTTCAGCTGACCTTCTCAACAGCAGGAAACAAGGGGCAAGCAAAGTGGTAGCCCCAACTCTGTCTTTCTTTTTGTGTCTCCAGCCATTTTGCTGATTTAATTGTAAGCAGGGTTCTACAGCTAATAAGATGTCTGAAAAAAAAAAAATCAAATCCTTTAGAACTACCTTTACCCTTTAGAAATCACTTTTCTTTTAGACCGGGTCTCACGATGTATGTAGCCTTGACTGACCTGGAACTTGCTATGTAGACAAGGTTGGCCTCAAACTCAGAGATCTGCCTGTCTCTGCCTCCCGAACGCTGGAATCAAAGGTGTATGCCACCGTTGCCCATCCCAGAAATGTTTGTCTATAAAAGGACTGAGGATTGAACTCGGAGCTTTGAGCATGCTAACCAAGTCACCTACCACCAAGTTACACACTCAGCAATCTTTTAGACTTTAAACTCAGTGTTTGCCTTTCTTCCTCTTCCATCGGCCTCTCTCTCTCTCTCTCTCTCTCTCTCTCTCTCTCTCTCTCTCTCTCTCTCTCTCTCTCTCTCTCTCTCCCTCCCTCCCTCCCTCCCTCCCTGAATCCCTCACTCAGGGCTCAATGGTTGTCTTCTCCAGGCAGAGCTACGGGATTCTCTACCTCACGCCCCAAAGCTCCCCACTGACCTAGATTCTGGTCTCCTGTGTGGCCTTTTATTTGCAGCACAGCCTAAGATTCCAGAACAATGAGTGAGACCTGAGACCTGAGAGCGGGGGCAGATCCTAGCCAGATATCCCATCTGGTCCCAGGCTGCAGTCTCCGGCCCCGCCTCTCCCGCACTGAGCAGCCGCCTCTCCAGCCCCCGCCCCACGGAGTCATTCTCCTGATTCAGACATTTTTGCAGTGTGAAATCACCGCCATTGGGGCCAGCTGAAGCTGGGAGCGTGCCTCTGGCCACTGCAGCAGCTCTAGGCCCTCCCCTCCACTGCCACGTCCCCACACCCTCCTCTGCTCCAGGCCCTCAGAATCTCCCTGTGATTTCTCCCAGCTTTGCAGAGAAACACAGACCGAGTGACCAAGGCAAGCGGGATGGAGCTCTATGATCTCCCCATAGCTCCTGCTACAGACCTGGGACACAGTCCATCCCCCGAGTGAGGCCGTCAGTCGGATTTGTTAAATCAGGGCGGAGACAGAGTGAAAGGACAGGAGAGCCCCAGAAGGTGACAGAGAAGAGACAAACAAAGAGATGCATCAAGGCTGAGAGACAGAGAGGCATAACCTATACCACAGAGAAAGAAACAGAATGTGATCCAGTGACCTCTAAACTGGATGGGAGGACGGCACCCGAGCCCATCCAGGCACTGTCTTTGCTCAGGGCTTACCTTTGCTGGATTTGCTATTTCCTGTTGATTAGGGCTCCAGTTTTAAAGTTACATGTTAACCCATGGGTTTCTGTCCAGTGACACAATCTGATTTCCTTGTTGGACACTAATCAGTATCTCATCTGACCCAGCAGCCTTTCCCAGCATCTGCTCATTCATTCAAGGCCTGTCTGCACATAATCTTTTTGAATTCCTGAATTCCCTTTGTATTATCTGTCAGCTGCTTCTGTTTCTTCTTCTTCTCCTCCACCTCCTCCTTTTTCCTACTCCTCTTCCTCCTTCTTCTTTTCTCTTATTTGTGAAGTAGAAGTAAAAATAATAATAATAACTTTTTTGCTTTTGAGACAGGATCTAACGTAGCCTAGGCTAACGTAGCAAGATGTAGCCTATGTAGCCAAGAATGATCTTGACCTGATCCTCCTGCCTCTGCCTCCCAATCACTAGAATTAGAGGTGTGCTGTGTTACACTCAGCTCTGGCCAGCATCCCTACAGGAAATGCTGCCTCAAAAAACAACAAACAAACAAACAACAACAACAAAACCCTGGAAAAACAAACAAACAAAATCCTTCCTATTAAGGCAAGTGTGCATCTTTGGTGGCCCATACCTACATTCCTACCACTGGAGAGCCTAAGGCAAGAGTCTGAATGGTCAAGGCTAGTCTGGGCAACATGGTTAAGACTCTCTCTCTCTCTCTCTCTCTCTCTCTCTCTCTCTCTCTCTC